ATATTAAAGAGATAGTTTGTATTTGTTTAGATGGGGGTTGTAAGAAGTACTTATCAAAAGTCAGTGTAATACCTACATTAGACAGACATCAACCCAGTTAGCAAAAACCAACAGGAGTACCAGTAGGAGGTAAAGCAATGTAGTGCTATGTGGGGCAGCAGCAAAACACATTTTAACTACTTAAAATGTTATCAGTTTAAGTTTGTGCTATATTGAGAATATTTACAATACTTTTCCTTGCTCTCAGATTTTCTGTAACTGTAGCCGTTATCTATGATATCTCCTGAAAGGCATCAGACTCCAAAGAGAAAATCAGTAATGTCACCTTAATTTGTGTTATTGTGTGACTTTGGTGAATCAGAATGAACATTTAAACACTGAAGTCTCACAACAACACAAACTGATCAGCACATGAAACTTTGGAAAGCGACATGTTGCCACAGTGTTTGAGTGTGTAAAATACAGCTTAATGCGTTTCTATCAGCTGCTATTGCTAACAATGGCTACAGCTAACCTGGCTAGAACTTGGTTTTCAGACTTGTTTTACTGCTTTAAAGCTCACATGTCTGACTTCTATTCCAAAAGAAGCCATTAACCTTTCACTACCAAGTTATAAGTCAAAGGTATTGCTGATTGGTATCAACATTTGATCTGTTAATAAGAGTGAGACATTTTATCAAGCATTGTTTTAATGTAAGCTAGGCTAACTTAGCTCATGGTAACGTTTCGCGGAATTAACGTTATAACAAAATATTATTACCTTGACTGCTAACAGCTAATTGCATCCTCATCAGGTGTAAAGCTACATAATACAACACATAACCAAGGAGTGCTTGTCTTCACTCCTAAATCCCCTTTTATAATATCTCAAGACAAATTGGCAAGCCAGCTACAATACTATCTGAATACAAAGTGAATCCCAAATCAACACATCAAACAGTCATTTTAACAGCGTCCTTAAAACAAAAACAAACCCTGAAAAATCACACAATCAGCCAACATATTGTTATTCAAAGCTTGTTGCACCAAAGTGTCACTTCATGCCTTTCACGGTTTCTATTTATTTCAAACTGATAGGTGTGTTGCTCTCTAGTGTGTCTGATTATAATTGCCTGTTTATATGAAACTGAGAATATTTAAGACTTTTTATATAAATATAAATAAATATAGGCCTATTATCTATTCAGAAAATAAAACACAGCTCTAACTGTAGCCTATATATTAAGTTAAGACAACCTTTCAAATTGAAAGTCATCGTTTGCAATATAAATGTTGTGCACCGTCAAAAGTGCTAGTCAATCATGTTTCATGTTTATTTTGTATTGTTTTTCACTTCCTGTTTTGTTTTTGTCACGTCTCATTTCAGGTCCCTTGACTCCCTTTCCTCATGTGTTCTCCCGCCCTCATCAGTATCAGCCCCGCCCCTGATTGTGTTCACCTGTGTCTTGTTGTTGAGTGTTTAAATTCCCCAGTCTCCCAGCGTTCAGTGTCAGTTCGTCTTGTCCTGTCCCCATGACAGAGCTATGCTCTTCAGCTCGTTTTGATTCAAAGCCTATGTTGGCTCCTGAAACTTATTATAAGTTTAGTTCCTCACGTTGTGAGTGATTTTCTGTTTTGCCTTGCTCAAACCTTTTTTGTCATCTCTTAAGAGTGATCTTCTTTTGTTACCTTTTTTGTGCAAATAAAGTATCTTAATTGTACTTTACCTTTGGCTCCCGGGTCGTGCATTTGAGTCCTTATCCTTGTGTAACCAAGTTCATAACAATAAATGCAAAATTATGAGATTATCTTCATGTTTTTTGTTCATTTATTCTGGTTAATTTGAGAGGCACTTTTATCAGATGCTTATTTCTCACACCGTCTGTTAGTTGTATTGTTAATACAATAATTATTAAGACAAAATAGGCCTCTTTCACCACAGAATTAAATTACAGTAAATTGTCAGAAAGGTAAAATTACTGTTTTATTTGTCTAAGAACACATTAGTGATGCCCATCATTTCTACTTAAATGGAGTTGATTTACTGCCATCTTTTTCCACATTTGTACACAGCACCGCACACAGTGAAATGAAGACTCTGCAAGTTAACCATCCTATTTGGGCAGCTTTTATATGTAAAAACGCCTGGGGAGCATTGTGGGTGTCTGTCACCTTGCACTTCGGGGCTCCTCAACGGTGCCCGGAAGTCAAAATGGCCCCTTTTAAAATTAATTTGTTCCCGGTTCCTAAGCCAAGTTCCTACTTTGGTTATTTTTCATTTATACTTTTGATGACATGTTATATTCGTATCGTCCTTGTGTGGTGTGAACTCTTACCTGTCCTATCCTGTGTTTCACTCTTATTGCTGTTCCACTATGACTGAATTTCCCAATCGGCCCATTAATAAAGGTTTAGCTATGTTATTGTACCTTGAAACTATTCCAGAAGCATGTTTCATCTGTAAAAGACTTGAGCCAACTCAAATCAAATTTCGCTTAATAATTCATCCGTGTTTCTGCACCCCCGCAGCACAGAGGAGAGTGCCGAGCTGTCTGCTCCTGACACTGATGTCAGTATTCTCATGCATTCTGGGTACACATGCCGGATGAGGGTGTTTTATCTTTTCTACACAGATAGCTGTCAGTTTTAAACAGTTTCAAGTCGATCAGAGTGACAGTGGGATGTAAAGGAAATAATTCCAGATAAAACTTTATAGCTGGCCATGGCCACCCTGCTAGCATGGCTAATATATTCATATTTTTTTTTATGAAAAAAGGCTAATTATTTTTGCAATTTTCTAAATTAAAATGACTGTGTGAATCTGCTGATGATTGTGCAAGCTTTTAAGAGGTCGTTTAGCAAACGTTATTCTCCCCTGTGTGTTCTCAGTTCATATTACCAGAGTGCTGCTGGGTTGATCATGAGATGTCAATTATCAGCCTCGCCCACGTGTGGGAACACGCACTGTGTAATTCACCTGCCGTATCAAAAGGAACAAATATAGCTGCTGTTGTTAAATCAATCTACCAACAAACATCCATCTTCACCCGATTTAAATTGTTTCCTTTCAGGCTCATCATTTCCTATCCACCTGTTTCCACTCAGTGTCTTTTTGTCCTTCGAGTGTTATCTTTGTCTCGTTCCTGTGTTTGTCATTACAGTATTTTATGATGTTTATTCCTCAGTTCTTTCAGCAGAGCTTCAATAAATCAGGGCAAACAGCGCATGTGTATGCAAACATTTCCTCTCATTTCAACATCCCTACCCCCATGAGCACTATTACATCATGTTGGCGAATTACTTCGTCACCACTATCATACATTTAAAATAGAAAGGGAAAAACTGGAAAATAAAAGTAATTTTTCGCTTTTTGATCACTTTTTGCAATCTGTTTAGTGTCTGTTGCAGTTTTGCAAATTGTTTTTATTTAAATGTGTTGTGAGGTTTTCTGCATATCATATTTAAATAATAAAACTTTCAAGTGATGCAATAAGTCTTGAATAAAACAGAACTTAATAACAACTTAAGTACAATCACATGATTTTTTTCCAATTATTTTAAAATAATGTTGTTGGTAGCAGTACTTGCAACTTCAGCCTTTAGGTTTATGTTTGACATTTTATTGATAAATTATACAATTAAGGATCTCTACCACATGCATTAAAAGTTATTACTTAACACAATTTCTAAAAATTCATGTTGAAAATAAAAAAACAGATATCAAAACACTATGTAACACTAACAGTCAGTTTGTACAGAAAGTGCATGCAATTTGAACCAAAATGTCCCTTAAATCTATTTAATCATATCCGCAAAAACCAAACAAGTTGGAATGTGCAACATGACGTTTTTCTAATGAAAAGATATGTATTCTTGAAGTCAGCAGCACTTCGGCATTGTAAATATTAATAATAATAATAATGCCTTTTATTTATATAGCGCTTTTCACAACTCAAAGACGCTTTACAGTATGAGGGAGGGTAGACAAACAAGGACAGGCAAACAAGTAAGTATAGTAAAATAAAAAAATAAAAAGGCAGTCAAGAGGAAGTTAATTGAGAGGGGGGGGCTTATGGGTAGACAAAGTTGAAAAGATGTGTTTTGAGGCGGGACTGAAAGACTGTGAGGGACTCAGAGTCACGGAGATCTTGGGGGAGGGAATTCCAGAGCCTAGGAGCTGCCACTGAGAAGGCTCTGTCCCCAAAGCTGCAGAGTGTGGATGTGGGAATGGATAGCAGTCCGGCTGCGGTGGATCTGAGGGACCGTGGGGGTTGATAAGGAGTGAGAAGGTTTGTGAGATAAGGGGGGGCCAGATGGTGGAGTGCTTTGTAGGTAAGGACCAGAATTTTGTAGTTGATGCGATGGGAGACAGGAAGCCAGTGGAGGTCTTTGAGGACTGGGGTGATGTGATGCCATGATTTGGTATGCGTGAGGAGATGTGCAGCTGCATTTTGAACCCGTTGGAGTCTGTTGAGGGATGTAGTGCTGATGCCGTAAAGAAGTGAGTTGCAGTAGTCAAGGCGGGAGGAAATGAAGGCATGGATTAGTCGTTCGGCTGCGGGGCGGGTGAGAGAGGGTAGGATTTTTGTAATATTGCGGAGGTGGAAAAATGAGGTTTTGACTGTTTGGCGGATGTGAGGTTCGAGGGAGAGGTCAAAGATTACGCCAAGGTTGCGTGCCTGATTGGAGGGGGAAACAATGGTGCCATCGATGGTGAGTGTTATGTTAGTGACCTTGCTGAGGGTGGATTTGGAGCCGATTAGGAGGAGTTCTGTTTTGTTGCTGTTCAGTTTGAGGAGGTTATGTTGCATCCAAGTTTTAATAGCTGTCAGACAGGAATCAATGTGGGTAAGGGGTGGGTTATGGAGGGATTTGGTGCTGAGGTAGTATTGTGTGCAGGAACATCTCATCTTGTCCTTCGAAGGCAAAGATGTGTTTTCATTGCAGCCTTTTCAGAGATCCACCATGTATAGAAGTGTAGAAGACTTTACAGCAGCTAATTGATTTTCTCCCTCCAACAGAGCAGATGGGCGGGAGCTGAGACGTCAGGAGGATAATATCGGCTGAGAGATCCACGGGTGTCGCCTCACTTTCCAGGGATGGAGATGACGGATGAGACGTGGGAAAACGGCAGCCTTGCCAGCCCCTCGCCGGGACTCCCCCTGTTCCTGCTCATGTTCAACAACAGCGATCTGAATTTTACACTGTTCAACAACACCAACTCCACTGCTGCACCCATCTTCTCGGGCCCTAGCGTGGCCGGGGTCCTCATACCGCTCATATACATAATCGTGTGTGTCATCGGCCTGGGTGGAAACACTCTGGTGATTCACATTGTGCTGCACTACTCGAAAATACAGTCAGTGACCAACATCTACATCGTCAACTTAGCCATCGCCGACGAGCTCTTTATGCTTGGTTTGCCTTTCCTGGCGGTGCAGAACACGTTGCATTCGTGGCCATTTGGCTCCTTCATGTGCCGCCTGGTGATGACCGTCGACTCCATCAACCAGTTCACGAGCATATTCTGCCTGACAGTGATGAGCATTGACCGATACCTCGCCGTAGTGCACCCCATTCGCTCATCAAAGTGGCGCCGACCTCGAGTGGCCAAAATGGTGAATGGCACCGTGTGGGCTCTTTCATTTCTCGTCGTTATGCCTGTGGTGATCTTTGCCAATATTCAGAAGGGGGGTGGTACGTGTAACATCGACTGGCCCGAACCGGCGAACATATGGAGCGCGGCTTTCATCATTTACACCTTTACAATCGGATTCTTCTGCCCTCTTCTTATCATCTGCCTGTGCTACTTGCTCATCGTCTTTAAAATCCGGAGCTCTGGAAAAAAAGTCCTTGCCACCTCCACCAAACGGAGGAAGTCTGAGAGAAAGGTGACGCGCATGGTTGTTATTGTCGTCGCCGTTTTTGTGTTCTGTTGGCTGCCCTTCTACGGCCTTAACATCATCAACCTGCTCGTGTCCCTGCCCCCTGAGTACCATGGGCTTTACTATTTTGTCGTTGTGCTTGGCTACGCCAACAGCTGTGCCAACCCTATTGTCTATGGCTTTCTATCAGACAACTTCAAGAGGGGTTTCAGGAAATCCCTGTGCCGCTCCACGAGAAAAGTGGAGAACCACGAGCCAATGGAGCCTCAGCCGGAGCAGAAGGAGGGCAGGGCGTGGCTCAAGCCCAGGGAGAGCCTGAGAAGGGGTCTCAGACAAGTGGAGTACGAAGAAGTGGAAGACATTTCGGAAATGACTGAGATCTACAGAATCGGCCAAAACGGCAACAGCAGCATTCCGCCTGAGAGCACACAGCCGCTGTTGTCCGATAAAGCAGCAACTCCGGGAGCAACGGATCTGTCAAGCCCGGACAAGAGGGGCAAATCTGGGGACGTGAAGGGAAAAGATTCTGCCAACGGCTCCACACTGACTGTACCGTTACTTCTCAACAGAAACCAAAATGGCAGCGTTAAACCTCTGCCAGAGGACGACTTGGAACAGAGCGCTTCACTGTAAATAAGCTACTTATAGTGTAAAATAAGGGCCGTATGTAACAGTATTAAGAGACAGTTTGTATAAAAGAATACGCATATATATATAAAGTAAACTTTAGAGACACTCAGATGCAGCTAAGTGTGTTTTGAATGAATGGACTCTAAGTTCCTTTAACATTAAGTTAAAGTTTTACCAAGATACAAAGTGTATCCCTGTATATATTGTGTACATATGCATGAATATGAATGTACAAAGTTGTGCCTTTATCACTTATACTACTACCAACTTTTTTCAAATGTAATTTGTTGGTGCCTGTACTTGTAGCCTTTTAATTCTATAATGTGACAAGATTCTGCTGAAACTTGACTGTTTTTAAGCTAATGTCAACCATGGCATGGCTAACACCTTTATTTACAATAGGAATCACATGCCTGCAATCCCATCTTTTACTAATTATGTGTATAGGAAACACAGGGTTATGGGGCACCTAAAAATTCCTAGCATTGTGTTTGTAATTTCAATGAAGCTTGTGTAGGTAGATGGATGTATAAAGCGTGGGTGAGGTTGTGGCAACTTGGCTGGTATGTTCAGTAACATTGGGCATATGACAGCAACAATTTATTTGTTGATTTTCCCAAATCACCAAACTCTCTTAAAAGGCCTGGATGTAACTGTTCATTTCAGCCCGATAAAGGAGATTTCCTATATCATTTTAGGCATAGAGTTTTTCTGACCAAATGTTTCCTTATTATGGAAATGAAAAATATAATTTAGTTATGAAATGTGTGGTATAAAAACATAATTTTCCAAGAGATGTGTTTACATGCCTTCACTTGATATAGAGTTCTCATTATGAACAGAAGCTTTTATGTTAATGACTGACATCCAGATGTTGATCCTGATGTATAGAAATCAATTGTAATTAAAGTGTTGTTGCTGAAATGTGGTGACTGTTGTAAAGGTTGTTGTGTATAATAATAGGTTGGCACTCATCTTGTAGCACATTAAAACCTTAGACAATACATGTTGTTGTTCTGATTGCAGATCAAGATGGACTGAAAAACATTTTTGCTTTAATTAATTATATTGATTTTTTTTTAAAAACACATAATTTCCTGCATACAATACAATATAATACAATACATACCTGTACTACAACATATAATATAACAGGTATTTCTAAAACAAATGATTTGTAATAGCCTGTACAACATTGTCAGAAATTAAAAGTTAATAATCATTTTCTTATCCTAAGAAACAAGGGTTATACTTAATTTGGCTGATAAACTATTTTAAGAATGTCCGTTATCACGTAAAACAAACAGTTCAGTTTACAGTTCATATTATTTTATCAGGACACATTAAGGAACTCCAGGCTACATTGGCTGGCTGCCTGACAAACACAAATCCTTTTTTTTTTTAAAGAAATAATTAACAAAGATGTCATTTTGAAAAATGGTGACAAATCAGTGGTGTGTGTGGGATTTTTTTTACTTGGGGGGACGCTATTTTAATTAGGGTCATCCCAAACAAATGCACACAAGTGCGCATGCGCGCAGTGCACTCACAAACGGGCAGACGGGTCCACAGAAACTACCGGCATGCTTTAGTCCTACTTTAGTTACTGCTAGCTGCAAAAGCAGACGGCGCTGTCCGCTACCACACACACATCGACTCAAACCATGGACACACAGGCACATAAGTTTACATAAACAATTTATAGGCCTAAATTGCATGAAGCTACAGTATTGCAAACTAGCAAGACAGTCCTCTCTCCTCTCTCTCTCTCTCTCTCTCTCTCTCTCTCTCTCTCTCCTCTCTCTCTCTCTCCTCTCTCTCTCTCTCTCTCTCTCTCTCTCTCTTCTCTCCCCTCTCTCTCTCTCTCTCTCTCTCTCTCTCTCTCTCTCTCTCTCTCTCTCTCTCTCTCTCTCTTCCCACTTTCAAATCTATTCAAAACTCATAACAAACAAAAGTCCAAAGTGTCCTGAAATTAACTTATAAATAAACAAAACGAAAAATATAGCCATACTTATGCAAACAACATTGAATCTGGACTTGACATTATTCTGATTAGGCCTAGCCTACATTGCAAATAAGCAGACAGCGCTGCTTTTCACACACACATAGAGGAACGTTGCTAGCGCAGCTAACGTGCACGTTAGCTAGCATTATCCACGTCTTTAGGCGGCTCTTCTGATGATGTATTACTAGCAGCTTCACTTGTAGCTTCGGTGCTGCTAGCCTCTTTCTTCTTGTGAATTATATTCTTTTTAGAAAATAAGTCAAGTAAAACATGTTAGCCTGCCATTATAGAGCTTTTTCGTTAGTGTTCTTGAGGGAAAGAGCTGCCGCAAAATCGACGGGCGCGGCGAGCTGGCTCACCGTGGGTGTGTCAGTGACTATGGTCAGTGACCGCGGGGTCAGTATGAATCATACTTTAAGGAAATCGTTTTTATTTTTTATTTTAATTACTGTGAAATGTATTATGTTTTCGTCATTATTACAACAAATACACACTTGCAACTGATAACACTGGCAATGATTTTATATTTATTAGACTTAAAAAAAAGATCATGCTCCAAATAAGTGGGGGTACGGCGTACCCCCGCGTCCAACGCCCACTACACCACTGGTTACAATCAAAAGCAGAATAATTTGTAATATTGTTTTTTCAATTGAAAAGTTATTTAAGAAAAAAAGGGTTTTCTTAGGAGATTCACAGAGCTTCATTTTAATCTAGGTGACATGGCTAACTTTATATTCTCAGATTTTTATGCAAGTTTAATGCAGTATTTATTGTCCCACTGAGTTTTCTAAGTTTATGTTATTCTGTTCTTGTTCTCCACTCAACTCCACTCTACACAATTAAATTAATGTAAAGGTTAAGATACACCGTTAATTATCCTCTCAGGTAAATGTATCTACCAAGCACATATAAAGTAATTAAAATAAGCTCCACTTTTTCCAGCTGCGACATTAAAGTGAAGAGCACATAACAAGTCTAAAAATACTTTAACTGAAGTGGGCCGAGCTGCATGATGAGTGCTTTTACTTGTGTTGCTTACATCTTATGTTGATGCTTATACCAGCATACTTTTACACTATGTTAATGGTCCTTTTTACTCATTAAGTAAAGGTTCTCCGTCATCCACCACTTTTGGCACATTTTACTGTGACATCTACATTTATTGACAACACACGTTTTTAAAAATATATTATACTCTCCACCATTCATCAGAAACTGTCCTCACAGCCGTTCATTCATGAGTGTGAACCATAGGTGTGAACCATAGGTGTGAACCCACCACACGTACATTGAGCTGGCTGTAGATACAGTGAAACGGGGTGTTGCTGCTGCTCTTCAGCCCACGCTCCCCTCCTGCAAAGATATGCTGAGGAGGAGCATCAGATCTTCATTAAAGGCACATTAAAAAAATATTTGTTTGCCTGTATTTTATTTGCAAAGCCCTCCGGAGGGGTTTGGCGATAACGGAGATTTGTTGAGATTGTGGAGCTGTTTGCTCTTCTCTGCATGTAAGATGTTTGTGTGTGTTGTTGATCTATAAATATTGAGCTGTGGGTTCCCAGACTCCCCTCGGCGATAACCCACCTGTGCTAACAGCACACAGCGAGGTGATAGTCAGCCAGTGACTCAGCATGCTTCCCTGCCCACAGAAACACACCCACTCACAATATGGTCAAGTTAACGCTAATAGATCATTGTTCCCTTTTTTTGTCAGGAGAAACCATGGAAACTCTGTGCAAAAACGGCATACCGACCCTTATCGAACATTAATGCTTCCCTTTAGGGTGGGATTACAAGTCTTATTTTATTATGGGGCACATCTATAGTGAAGTGTATCAGGTGCAAGTGGAAATTGAAATCTTAATGGAGAAGTGAAAATATTGGCAATTAAGTGCAATGGTTTTTTCCGCAACATTAAGACGTTTTCCCCTTGAATTGCAAAATGTAAAAAAAATTCTCATCTGCAGAAGGTATGCCTGGCCCTGATACTTTCACATTGAAACACACAGTGATGTTAATTAGCACAGTGTTATTAGGAGGCATGAAGAGTTTCATCCCACTGGTCTTTATTACTTTCATCCCTCACTGAATTTTGAATTGTTGTTCTTGATTTAAATGCAGGAAGAGTTTCCCAACACACACACACGTTAACCTCATAAGAAATTAAAACGATTCTAATTTGTATTTGTATTCTGATGCAGGTTGATTTTGTACATCACATAAACTGCATTGTGTTCATTTGTTTGTTTTTCTCATAATTGTGCCACTCCAGTTTTAATATTTTGTTGCTTATGGTGTTTTTTTACCTTTGGACAGAGCCATGCTAGCTGTTTCCAATCGTTATGCTAATATTAGCTAAATGGCTTCTCTTTTGAAGAGGCCCCATTATGCTTTTGGGGTTTTCCCTGTCCGGTAGCGTGTATAGGTTTTTGTGCATGTAAAGGGTCTGCAAAGGCTAAATCCCAAAGTTTCTCTCCCTCACCCTGCGTGAAATGCCTCCATTGGACTCCTTTGTTTACTTCCGTAACAAGGGACATCACTATGGCCCTTTCTCATTTCTCTAACTCCCCTCTTCAACTCCCCTCCTCGACTACTATCCTCAAGACTTAGTCCCGCCCACAGGAGATGCGAACGGAGGAGTCAAGGAGGGGAGCCGAGGAGAGAGGAGGGGAAGCAGCAGGTGGTTAGAGAAATGAGAACTCCTCTCCTCTGAGCGGTCATTTTAAAGAGACGTCCATTAATGATGACAGGAGGCACAGCAGCCCTCTGTCTGATGGACAGATGTGTTCATGACGACTTAACCGGCCTGCTCTCGTCTATCCCACATGCTCCACTGAAATCCAACATCTAGTTTCAGGTGGCCTGTGGAACTGCCAGTCAGCTGTTCCTAAGGCTGACTTCATCTCTGGCTACGCCTCCCTCCAGACCCTGGATTTCCTTGCTCTCACTGAGACCTGGATTACTCCATTCAACACATCCACCCCAGCAGCTCTCTCCACAGCATATTCCTTCTCCCATACACCCAGACCCACTGGCAGATGAGGTGGCACTGGTCTCCTGCTCTCTCCCAAATGGAGCTTTTCCCTCTTCAAGCTACCTAACTTCACTCCTTCCACCTTTGAATTCCATGCCGTCACAGTAACCCATCCTATACAATTAACCATTGTTGTTCTCTACCGTCCACCAGGCACCTTGGGGGACTTCTTGGAGGAATTAGATAATCTCCTCTCACACATCCCTGAAACTGGCCCTCCCGCTGTACTTCTCGGAGACTTCAACCTCCAGACAGGGAAGATAGACGAACTAACATCTCTGTTAACAGCCTTTGCTTTCTCACTGTCTCCGTCCCCACCAACTCATAAAGCTGGCAATGTCCTTGATCTCATATTCTCAAGGAACTGCGCTACTTCTAACCTCTCTGTAAACCCGCTCCACACATCCGATCACTTCTTCATTTCATTCTCTCTACCCCTTTCCAAACATAACAAACTAATCTCTTCTCATCCTGCACCTGTCCGCCGTAACCTTCGTTCCCTCTCCCCCTCTACCTTTGCCTCATCGGTGCTCTCAGCCCTCCCTTCCTCTAACTCGTTCCAACTCCTGCCTCCAAACTCTGCTGCAGAAACTCTCCTCTCTACTCTCTCATCCTCTCTGGACTCTCTCTGTCCTCTCACATCTCGGCAGGCTCGTCAGTCCCCTCCTGCTCCCTGGCTAAATGACGCACTGTGTGCTAATAGAACCGTCCTTAGGGCAGCAGAGCGGAAACGGTGGAAATCCAAACACCGTGACGACCTCCTAACCTATCAGGCTCTCCTCTCCTCTTTCTCTGCTTTGATCTCTCAGGCAAAAAGCACTTTTTTTTCAAGATAAGATCCAATCTCCTATTCCAATCCCAAAAAACTATTTTCCATCTTCT